GTCATTGTGTGGCACCGGCCTCGTCATTGTGTGGCACCGGCCCTGTCATTGTGTGGCACCGGCCCCGTCCTTGTGTGGCACCGGCCCAGTCATTGTGTGGCACCGGCCCAGTCATTGTGTGGCACCGGCCCAGTCATTGTGTGGCACCGGCCCCGTCATTGTGTGGCACCGGCCTTGTCATTGTGTGGCACCGGCCCTGTCATTGTGTGGCACCGGCCCTGTCATTGTGTGGCACCGGCCCTGTCATTGTGTGGCACCGGCCCTGTCATTGTGTGGCACCGGCCCTGTCATTGTGTGCTGGATTTTGACGTTTAAATTTGCTGGGGGGTTTTTCGTTTATCATTATTTGGATGTTTTTTGTTTGTATTTTTTTATAGATCGCAAAACTTTGTGGATGAGAAAGGCACAGGGGTGGGGCTGGGTGAAATTCCACTACATTTTGAACTGAATCTGACTTAATGCCCACTTTTCTGTTGTTTTTTTTCTTCTTCTTCTTCTTTTTTTTTTTTAAATGGAAACTAAGCGCCAAAATCTGAATTCATTCCTTGTAGTTTGTAGAGGAGAGAAAAATAGCAATATTTAATTTAATGAAATGAACCTTGCTCGCGAAACCAAGAGTTCACGTCACAGTTGAATTGGCGTATTGGTTATATTAAATCAATTTGCGTAGAGATTATATTAAATCAGTTGGTGTAGAGATTATATTGAATCAGTTGGCGTAGAGATAGTATTAAATCAATTTGCGTAGAGATTATATTAAATCGGATGGCGTTGAGATTAAATTAAATCAATTGGCGTAGAGATTATAACAAATCAATTGACGTAGAGATTATATTAAATCAATTAGCGTAGAGATTATATTAAATCAATTGGCGTAGAGATTATATTAAATTAATTGGCGGAGAGATTATATTAAATCAATGGCGTAGAGATTATTTTAAATCAAGTAGCGGTTAGTTTAATTTAAATCCAATTGGCGTAGAGATTATATGAAATCAATTTTAACCATAATTGCTAACACGACTATAAATGATCTCATAGTTTTTTAAAAGGCGTCAGAAGTTTGGCCTTGTGGACAACGGTTTTGAATCTAACAAGGGAAAGAACCCGGATGTTGGGTTGCTTTTCCCCCCTCTCAGTGAAGTTCTTATCAGTTCATCGTCAGCACGGCTGTAGTGACAGGAGTTGTTGTCCTTCATCCATATCTCGTTTGCCCAGTTCTCCACGGCGATGTCTTGCTATGACAAGAACTAGGGTAAAATAACCACAGAATCGAGACATTTTTTTTTTGTTACGTGCGCGTGGCTCATTCGTACTGAGCCAGGTCAGTTAGGGCAAGGTCAAGCCGCTTGTTCCCCGAGTCAGTTTCATGTTGTCGCCTCTAACCGTGCTTCCATGCCTGAGGCCAGAACTCGGATCTTTACTACCGCACGTGACATAATATATAAATATAATATATACACACACACACAACAATATACATATATATGGGGATGGGATGAGTTTAGTGTGACATCTTTCCAAATTCAAGTCAAACTCTTTCTTACATTTCACACTCCTGCTTACATTTCACACTCCTGATTACATTTCACACTCCTGCTGCGATGGTGGGAGACTACGACACCCCTAACTCCACCCCTTCGGCAACCCCATTTCTTCCCCTGACCCCATCCCTATTTCTTCCCCTGCTTCCACCCCTATTTTTCCCCTACCCACCTCTATTTCCGGAACCCCTATTTCTTGCCTTATCCTACTGATATTTCTTCCCCTTCCTCCACCCTATTCCCCCCCCCTACTGCCACCACCATTTCTTCCCCTATCTCCACACCCATTTATTTGCTCCTACTCCCACCCAGGCCCGGTTTAACCATTAGGCGAACTAGGCGGCCGACTAGGGCGGAAAAGTTTCAGGGGGCGGCACTATTAATTAAATAATTAGTTGCCTTGGGGGGGGGGCGCAGTGCGACAGGTTCGCCTAGGGTGCCAAATACTCTGGCGCCGGCCCTGCTCCCACCCCTATATTTGCCCCTACTTCCACCACTAGTTCTTCCCCCCTACTTGCAGCTCTATTTCTTCCCCTACCCCCCACCCCTATTCCCNTCCCCCCACCCCAACCCCCCCCCCCCCGCATCCCCAGCCCTACTTCTAACCCGCACCTCATCGACATGTTTCTTTTGTCCCGGGTAACCAGTAAACATTTAATCGCTTGTCTAAAGAATCGCATCGATCCCTCCTGTCGCACTGCAGGTGCAGGTAAGTTGGCCCAATCAAGGCAGGCGTTGTTTATTTTGCCGTCGCCGTGGTAGGCCGCGGCACTCGCATTAATTGAGTGGTCATTGAATTGTTCGCCATGCTCTGCTCTGCGAGGTCTGCAAAGGGTGGGGGCCAGGGGGTGGGGGGAGGGGTGGCGCTAACTCGTCATGTCAAGAAGTGAAGTGACTAGGTCAGGTTTATTTTTTTTTTTATTTCGACGGCGGACCCTCGGAATACCAGCAGATCTGCATGGCATCATTAATGTGTCGTCCACTCCTCAGTCTTTTTTTCCCCGAAGGTTGTCAAATGGGGGAGAGGGGTGGAGGTTAGGGAGAGAGGAGGCTCAATGCCGCCCCTGAATTTACAATGACTGTACATGATCAGTCCGTGTTTATTGGTTGATTTATTGGTTGATTTATTGGTTGATTTATTGGTTTTGTTTTTGTTTAAATCACCCTATGAAAGTCTTCTAAGGTTATCTCCCATGAAGGCTTTATCCTTTTAACTGACAAGGACACGACTAATAACAGAGTTGGTACATTTAAACAGGTTATTTCCCATGAAGGCTTTATCCTTTTAACTGACAAGGACACGACTAATAACAGAGTTGGTACATTTAAACAGATCTCCCATGAAGGCTTTATCCTTTTAACTGACAAGGACACGACTAATAACAGAGTTGGTACATTTAAACAGGTTATTTCCCATGAAGGCTTTATCCTTTTAACTGACAAGGACACGACTAATAACAGAGTTGGTACATTTAAACAGACCGCTAAAGTGCCGATCTCAGTTCAGAAAATGAACATTTGATATATTGAAGACTTTTATATTAACCTGAATAGGTTGGGGTGGGGGGGGGGGTGATTGTCTTTTTAATATTTTTTTAAGCTTTGCAATGGCATCAATCAATCAATCAATCAATGATATATTTTTAATGACTCGATCTGGATGACACTTTTAAAATATTTACCACCAAATCTCACGGGGAATCAACGTAGCCTACTGAGAGTGGAAGATTTATTACTTCCTGTTTAATAAGACGCCAGTTTCAACTGGTATAGTCAGATGGGTTGAGTGAGGAGCTATTTATATATACGATATCGGCTAAGAAAATATTTTGGGAGCCACAGGCTGCGGTGGATCATTTTTAAATGAGTCAAAAACCAAGAGCCGTAATTCTACTTTACTGGCAATTATTTTACCCTAAAAATGGAACCAACATTTTTTTTTTTAATTTCTATTCCAGAAAAGCTACAAGCAATGGCCGTTGTGGTTACCAAGGAAACAGTATGCACATGGATACATCTACTTCTTGAAGAAGAGCAAGATTTTCGGACGACTAGCTAACTTAATAGGGGGTAGGTAGACACGTCTCACTACACAAACTACTTCAGTTGAAATTTCATCATTCATAACTTATAAATTTAAATTTAATCTTTAGAAATTGTTAAATATCAATTATATTTTATTACATCATTGCATAATCATTGCCCTTTTTCACCATGTTTCATTGCCTGATAGCTTTTTAAACTTTAATTTGAAGTTTTCTGATTGTAAACCCCCCGCCCCCCAGGCACCTTGACAGGGTGGACAACTCCCACCTTGGCATGAATATTGTTTTCCTAATAATGCCCAATTGACTTGCCACATTATTGATTATGTAATCTACGAGCAATACGCCTGCAAAAACTTTTATAAATAAATAACTGTATGAAGTTTAATATTAAATTAAGTTTTAATACTTTGATAGGTGAGGTTTACGTTCCCGTGCTGTGGCAAGCACCGCTACTCAAAAGTGAAGAAAAGTTTCCAGTAGTGATTGTCTCTCATGGCATAGGCGGAAACAGGACAACTATGTCTACATACTGCTATGAACTTGCTTCCCGTGGATTTGTTGTGGCGGCTGTTGAACACAGGTATTTTCTTACCAAGCCTTATTGTAATGCGTTACAATTGGAGTTGAGGGACGGTGGTTTTTTTTGTTTTTTTTTAAATTTGTGAACATGGAGCCAAAAATGTTTTTGCCCTGTTATTCATTTACGAGACTGGGGATCTTAAGTTTTTTGGTTTGGTTTTCGTTCATCTTTGTACGCAGCCACTGACCGAATGACGACGACCTAACTATTCCCTTTATTTTCATCCTGTTATTTTCATCCTCATAATTTTCTAACATCGATGATCCATCGAATTTTCAGAGACGGCACTGCTTCAATGACTCTCTGTCTCAAGGACCAGCTCGACACTACCATCAGAGATGTAGATGACCATTTACCTCACAGCAAAAGTGAGAATGACATGCCCGTGAGCGATGAGGACTCTATGGATGATGACAGTATAAGGCAAAGAGTACAGTTCTTCTTGGATGAAAGGAATGAGAATCAAAGTGACGAGGCTGACGGTGCTGCAACAAGAGTGAGGCAGCGCAAACAGAACTCAAGGAGGTCGATTCTGTTTAACACCTCTTTTACTGAAGAATGGCGCCGCTTTCAACACGTGGAGATCTGGGATGATTTTAACTACAGAAACAGGCAGGTCAGTTGTCCAGCTACGCTTTTTTTTTTTTTTAAATAAAGCTCGCATTAAAATTAAATATTAATAGTAATACAAGTAAATATGTTCAATATAGTAATTAAATAAAGTAAACATTAAAAAAATATGATTTAAAAATAAATGGCCCATGAATCTGTTGAGTAATTTATAAATACATTTCTAATCCCTCATAGTCATGCTATTTGTCATGCATAGTCTTATAAATGAGACACACAATTTTTTGTAAATAAAACAGTACAATTTAAGATTTACTTATCATGAGATAAAAATTTAAAGGCATTGGTTAATACCTTCTTCAGGAAGTAGTGGAACAAGGTATGTGGACGCTTGAACTATGAAGACATGATAATAAAGAGAGTTTTTTTTTGAAAACCTAACCTTCCAGCAATAACAAAGCATTTATGTCCATCTCCACAAACTTGGGTTTTTTAACTGTTTTGTTTTCTAATTCTTATTGTTTCTTCTATGACCTGCCGGCTGAAGAACGCTCTTAGCTGAAACGTTCTTCTTTTAATCATCCTGTCTTTATATTTCAAGCTTCCACATACCTTGTTCCTTTAACTCCGCCCTTCATTAATTATCCTGCCTTATTCATTACAACTTCTCTTAGTCCTAGGAACTTTCAAATTTTTTACATTAAAATTTGAAATATTTTTGTCAATATTTAAATGATGGCCTCACATCAGCCTTGATTTACCTGACATCATTGATTGCTTCCAAACATTCATTTTAAGTGAGTCAAAATCATCCCTATTTTTTTGTTGTTATGAATAAATTTCAAATGTTAAGTTAAAATGTAAGGGATTTCAGTTGCCAATGTTAGCTGAGTGCTATTTAATCTTCAATTTCAGATGTATCAAAGGGCAGAGGAGATCAGAGACATTTTGGATGAGTTGGGGAGCATGAATAAGGGCAACCCAAACAATAACCTGCTCAATCTGGCTTTTAAAACAACACAGTTTAAGGTAGGTACTTTTATTCTAAAGTGAGGTTGTAGGGAGTGTGTGTGGGGGAAAAAAAAGGGAGGGGGGGTTCTAATAGAAAATCCCTCAAGCCTGAAGGCCAGGGTATATTATCATCATCCTGTTGCACCCCTCCAGGGGCATATATATATATATATATATATATAAAATTACAATTTTATAATTATAAGTTTTCTTCATTTATTTCCAATAGGATCGTCTGGACTTCTCTAGAGTGGCAATCATTGGTCACTCCTTCGGCGGTGCGACTGTGCTTGCAACATTAGCAAAAGATGCCAGATTCAAGTAAGTAAATTTACAACATTAACGGTGTGCCCAGTTTTTACCACTTTTCATTAGTTAATGTAATAAAAGAAGAGCTTTTCAATAGTTAGCGAGTGGGGAGTCATCTATTGAGGAGGTGAGGGGTCGGTAAAACACCAGATTTTCCTCTATGGGTATTTGAAGCTAATATTGAATATTCTGTCTGTTATATTTCACCATCCCTGTGTTATTGGCAAGCTGAATAAATGACCACATCCAAATAAGAAAGACGCAACTGTGGATGCCTTGTAAAATAAATTTTGTTTTTTTAATCCAGGGTTGGAATCTCTCTGGATGGGTGGTTCCATCCGGTGGATGACTGGATAGACAAAACAGCCAAGCAGCCTTGCCTGTTACTGAACATGGAACAATTTCAGTGGGAGAAGAATGTAAAAAGAATGTTCAAGTTCCAGAAGGCCGACCCCTCAGCGGACAGACCAATGTTAACTTTACGGTGAGTGGTTCAATTTTAAATATATTCTGTTCCATGTAAAGGCCAATATTGGTTAAAATGCTAACACTGTAACCATCTTGTTAAGAGCTGGATGAACTTTATGTTAGAAAATTCCCAAGTCTCACCTCCCTGAGATCAGCTTCTGACATCAATGTACATGTTACTAAACCCAGCAGATTTTTTAAAATTAGGCTGCATCTAATCAGTAAAAATACAAAAATAATAATTTAGATCAGCTGTTTTTTTTTGAGAAACTAATACCATATTTTTTATTACAATTTTTATGTGGTCCCTATTTTTTGCTTGGGTTCCACATTTTGTTAATGGGTTTAAATTTATTTGAATTTAAAATTCATGCTGTGAACATTTTTGGTGAATTTCCAAAATTAGTTACAAAAGGATCCTAGTATCTATTAGCATTAATACCAGTACTTGTTTAAGAATTGGTGCTCTCAATTATCTAACAGATCAGTTAATGAATTCAATTTTTTTTCCCTTGTTTTTAGTGGAGGATGTCACCAGAGTATGACAGACTTCCAGTTTATTGTGCCCCAAATAATTGGACGCATGATGGATGTGTGCCACACCCTGGAACCAGAGTCATGCATATCAACGTGTGTCAACACATCTCTGGCCTTCCTCTACAAGCATCTTGGTAAGTTAGCTCCCATTTTGTTTCAGGAATGTGTATTTACTCTCTCGATCATTTGTGTTCTCTCCCCTTGCTGATCTCTCAAGGCCATTTTTAACATTGTGTTGTGTTGTTGTCACCAGAAAGATATGTTTTTAAATTAAGGGCACCCAGCACCCAGAGCAGGCTGATAGTACGTTTAAATGTGCATAGTTTAGATTTTAAAAAATGTGTTCAAAAAAAAAAAAGAGGAAGTTCTCACTGTTATCTCTCCTAATGTCACTTTTTGCAACTATTTCGTTGTTTACTCTTAAATATAAATCAGTTACTGAAATGTAGCTAAATTCATAGCCCAACCCCAGCCACCACCACCCACCCATTTATGTATTTATTTCAAATTTTAAGTTTTGTCCCACATTTCAGATTTACACTGTTCAAAGAGTAATGCAACCAACACATTCTCCAGATCTTTTGTACACGTCTTATATTTGGGTTACACAAATGATTTTTACAAAACTGACAATGCTACTACTATTGACGATGGCCTCTGTTATTTTATTTGCAGATCTACCCCTTGAACAAATCCACAGAGACCTGCTCGATGCCAAGAATCCCCACCTCATGAAAGGCACCAATGTGGACATGTCTATTCCTGATGATGGACCTACTCCACCTTAAAAGCAAGATTTGTCTCACACGTGGACAAATTAATTCCCAGTGTCTGTGACAATCAAATGTCTTATCATAATATGTTTTTGCTATTTATTTTTTTTAAAGAAAAAACAAATTTAAGAAAACCAAGGATTTTTTTTTTTTTTTTTGTTTTTTTTTTTTTTTTTTTAAAAAAAAAAAAAATTTAAGAAAACGAAAGATTTTTTTTTTTTTTTTGGTTTTTTTTTTTGCTCTTAAAAAAAAAACACAAAAAAAAAAAACATATTCAGTCATTATATTTCAATTAATATTTTTAACAAGTAGCTGGTTGAATAGGTTTGTCATTAACTGGAGAGTTTACTTGATGTCTTAAGGAAAGATGTCCAACTTGTTTGACAAAATTGTTTTTTGTATGAGCTGAAATTTTAAAAGCAATTTAAACTCAAAGACTCAGGCCAGCCAACAGTGGCATTCCAACCAATGATCGGTCAAATGTTGCATTCCATTTATTGCCAGGTGCTACTTAAATGCTGATGATGCCGTATAGCATTATTTTATCTTACTAATTTACTGTTTAACTAAATAATTGCGGTAAATCTTTACAAGTCAGTCAGCATTGATGTAACTCATTGAACAAGTGAAAGTTTTAATATTACAAATTTTTTTGTTCCCATGATTAATTTTTTACTGTTGTTACCCATCAAGAAATAATTGCCTGAAAATAAATTGGCACATCTTTCAGTAAAATGCAATTTTCCTAACTATTTTCGTTATCTTTGAACATGTCTAATACCAAAAAATTAATGGAAGTACAGAGAAGCTAATTTTTTACAACTTTAGGTTTAGGTTATAGCTGATTATGTCAGATTTATGTTTGATAATATGCTGATATAACAAAGTATTTATAGAAATATTGTTTTAATGTATACCGCATTCATCGTGTTGAGAAATAGTCAACAAATGCTTGATAGCTATTTTGTTTTGGTTTTTTCGAATGCAATGCTAAATAAAATTTTGTATGATTGCCTGCTCAAAGAAAGCAAGAAACAAGTTCTCCTTGCCTTAAAGTTCAGAAGGAGGCTGGTTAGGAAGCTAGAGGAACATGCATAATTAAACAGCAAATATGTTGACTCCATGTTGTACTTTTTGTTATCTAACCTTTGCCTTAAACTATTTACACCCGGTTATCTCAGTCTTGTCATGGGTATGTTAAATGTGGCCTTAATGAATTGTCTGGCGTCCGTTCTACACTGAAACATGGCCAGTTTCATTACTGTTGATAATGTTAATGTTTTTTTTTTAAAGCAAACACATTTTACATTGATCAAATTGCATATTCGCTACAAAATTTTATTTATGGTTATCTGTCTTTTTTTTGCATATTAATCTTTTAACATGAGTTTTTTGTTTGTTTTTTTCTTGTTTTTTTTTTTCAAATTACAATTTTCACTTTTCTCTGCCTTTCAAGCCTCAAGTTTGTGTTCACTTTTGTGAATGGTCAACTTGGTGCAGCTGCTCACATTGTTTTCTATGAAAGCATAATGCAAACTTTAAACATCAAAATATTGTACTGTACACATATATAATAATAATAATTTATATATATATATGTATATATATATATAAATATATATATATATGTGTATATATGTATATATATATATTTATATATTGCCTATAACTTGATCTCAACTCAGGCCAACCCCAAATTAAGTGAAAGGGTCTTTATTATATGCTGTCAACCTATTATAAATCAGTAAGTCTAAATTTATTCAACAACAAAAAAAAGTTATTGAAATTTAACAAGCTTTTTTTTTTAATTTGTATTGTGTAAATCATTATGGATCTCTCTGTTGGCTACGCTGTTTGATAAATGTTGCTAACTTATGAAGGCTTTGTATTTGTGAAAGAAAAAGTGATGCTTTTTTGGGTAATTAGTTGGAATTTTTCTATTATTTCATTAGCTATAGATGTGAATTTTTGGGGAAATTAGTCTTTGACAACGTTTAACAATACAAAATAATGTAAATATTTGAGCTGTTTGGCCTACAAAAATCTACATGTCTCAAAAGACATTTTATCTGGTTTCCGTCCAAGTGCATTATTGACTTTTAAATGTTGAAACAATATGAAATTGTGCCTCTAATCAGATTGTGTCACTTTGAGATCTCTCAGTGGGAAACTTCTCTAAGATCACATTTTGAAATTGTTTTCCCTGCTTCTCCTATTGATGAATAACACTATTACTTCGCTGCACATTGCAATCTTCTTAAAATAATATTACTGATGTCAGAAATCTTTCATCTAAATATAAATCAATCCATAAATTTGGAACCCTTAACTATAGAATATTTATAGACTTTTTTTTTTGGTAACCTAAAATTTAAGAGTGTAATATACACTTTGACTTTCAGGCATTATAAGAAAAATTCTGATAATTTTGATATTCATTTTGTTAAATACTTAGTTAATTTCCAGCCAGCAGTGTCCTTTTCTCTCCTTTAAATAGAGACAAGTGATAAACTGGTTGGCAAATATTCCATTACATCATTCTGCCATAAATGCTTTGATGCCTCTTTTTATTAGTATTAGCTCATAGTTGTACAGTTCTTTACTCTGACCAATTATATATAGACTTACGTTGCAATCCAGTCTAGGACAAATCTTAGAACTGTTGAAATGGTATAAAAATAGTAATTAATGTTAAGAGTTTGGAAAAGCTTTTGAGTTTCTTGGTAGACCAACCAATGTAAAACACTTTGTTGAAAATTGTATCTTCTTTATCCATTCATTTTGTATTGAAATGAACATATTTTGGTTTAAAACATTTTTGTTTTCAGTCACTACAAAATTACAATTTTTCTACAATTCTCTTTTTTTTATAACAAGAACAACTTTATCCAATATTATTTTTATAATGCATCCTTCTTTGATCTCAACTGTTTAAAGTTACAAGCCATTTTTAAAAAAGATTTTGTTCCTCAAAATCTTCTATTCCTATGCTAAGAAAATCCTGTCGTGCCTTGCCGTTAAAAAAAATACTAACTGCTGGAATCGTCTGGTTGAATTGATTGCTAATTTTGTGAAACTATTTTAATTTTTAAGCAAAACAATCTTTTATGTTTACATAATAAATCATTGCTTACCTGTCAACCTGTGGATTTGGACACACACCCCCCCCCCCCCTCACCACCACCCCAAATTAGTTAAATGAATTTGTTAATTTCAACTTTCAGTGGCTGCATGAGTAGCACAAAAATTTTTAATTTTTACGCAAAACAATCTTTTTTGTTTTCATAATAAATCATTGCTTACCTGTCAACCTTTGGATTTGGACACACACCCCCCCCCCCCTCACCACCACCCCAAATTAGTTAAATGAATTTGTTAATTTCAACTTTCAGTGGCTGCATGAGTAGCACAAAAATTGATCATATATATTTTTAAGAACAATGAGATTTTCCCTGTTAACTTCTTGCTATTTATTTTATAGTTGATCAAATTTAAAAAAACTTATCAAAGATCATAGATTTTAGAAAATTTAAAAATAAGGCTTAATTTGAAACCCTTTAATGGTTTTTATTTATCAGTAATTCCATGTTTACCTGTCATGAGGTTGACACTGTAAATTCGTAAAGCCACTTTTGGAGAGCTTTTTGTCGTAAGAAATTAAATTATGGGTAAGTTAGATGCAAAAAGAGCCATGAAGATAGAAATAAAAGCTTAAATCTAATATTTTTAATGGCAGTAAGACAATCAGCTTTTTAATTTTTATTGTATTTATATTTTGAGGGGTACCAGGTATTTAAACCATTCAAATTTTACTTGTATGACTGCAGCATTGTCACAGTTTCTGAAGAAATATTTATACATTTTAAAAATTTGGTACCAATATTTTGATCTAACAAATCTGATATCAATTTTTCTAATGGCTGTTTGTATTTCTTCATTGCTCAGAAACGAGAGAGTATTTAATTTTTTTTTAAATATTTTGAAAATCGTTTATAGGTTGACAGGTACGCAAATAAAATTTAAGATTTTGAAATTATAAAACTAAATCTGAAATGTACTCCAAGCATCATGACTTTACCTAAAGCGTTGTTGGGTTCAGTTTCTGTCAAACTTATGTGAAACTTATTTTTTTTGACTTATTTTCCTGAGGTCAGTTTCTTAATGTAATGTAATTATTTTTTTACTTTTGTTTAAAATAACTGAGCTGAGCAAATGACTAAGGTTGTGAAGAACTACATGTAAAACATGGCAGAGCATAGTGAGAAATCTGAAACCTTATTTGTTTAAGCGATTAATGTTAAAAAAGTTCAAACATTTTTACGATGGTTCTCACATACATCTTTAGCTGCCTGTACATCTATTACAAAATTTTGTGAAATATTTTTAAATATTTTAAAGATTATTTGCTCTGTTTTTTTTATGTGTTAACGTAAGATGCTGGAGGATATGTCATTGGACCAGTGCTACTTGTTCTTAATATAAGAAAGAAACAAAATCTCCACAATTGCATTTTTTTATTTTTTTAAAATGAATTTTTACTTTCCACTTATTCCAATGTGGTTCTTGTGATTTTGATAATTCTTTTTTATAATTGTTTGTTAACGAGTGCTGCAGATTTTTTTTTTTTTTTTTTTTTTGCAGGACTCTCTCTGGATGTAAGACTTTAACAGAGCTTTCACTTTCTAGTGATATCAAATTTTTTTATATTTTATACCAAATNTTTTTTTTTTTTTTTTTTTTTTTTTTTTTTTTTTTTTGTTTTTTTTTTTTTTTTTTTTTTTTTTTTTTTTTTGTGTTATAAATTTTTTTTTTTTTTTTTTTTTTTTTTGCAGGACTCTCTCTGGATGTAAGACTTTAACAGAGCTTTCACTTTCTAGTGATATCAAATTTTTTTATATTTTATACCAAATCTGAAATATTTTATGACCTTGACGCTGCAGTGGATTGTGTAACTTGAAGTCACGGTACCTCATTCTGCTCATGCTTTTATACAAACAACTCAACTTCATAACATGTGTATTCAATGAACACGTATTCTCTTTATACCATAAGATTCCATTCTGTAAAAATGTAAATAATTTCCTTGCAATTCTAAGACTAGACATGTCAGTGTGAAGTAAAGACCTGATAGGGTTTATA